CTTTAAGGCATTTTGGACAATTTCATGCTCCCAACTTTGTGGGAGGAGTTTGGGGACGGCCCCTTCCTGTTCCAACATGACTGCGCACCAGTGCACATAGCAAGATAGCAAGGTCCATGAAGACATGGAGTGGGGAGGGGGGGGGGGGGGGACGTGAAAAAAGATCAATTTTTCTACACCCTGAAAGTTTCTGTTTAGTGGTAAATAAAACTACAGTTAGCCTTTACAATGTTATCTGAGCATATTAAAAAAAAGAATAAGTGGTTAAAAGTGAAGTTTATCAATTATTAAAATATCAAGGACATTTCCTGGAGAAAAATGAGGGCCTATGATTTACTGGAGCACAGTAAGAATTACCACCCATAATATCACCAGTTCACAAAACCATATTGAATGCCTTTTTTTAATTGCCTTGTGCTATTTTCTCACTTTAAGGCCCAAATAAATCAAAATCAATGAAAGGTTTTATGGTACTATTTACTCCATCCATGCTGTCAATTTACAAAGATTATTGCATGGGAATTGCAAGAAAGTGAAGTCAAGGGAATTCTCATTCACTTTAAACATTTACATGGTTATTCACAAAAGGGTGGAGGGTTTGGAGAAGGCAGGATAAGTGAACAATCTAGGACAACATAGCTGATTTGGAAAAGTTCTCCAATTCAGCTCACTTTCCAGTTCAACTATGTTGTCCTAGATTGTTCACTTCTGCCTTCTCCAAACTCTTCACCTTTTTGTGAATAATCCTTTTAATCACATGCAGGAGAGTTAAAAAAAAAACAGAGCTTCTATTACACATAATTGGATGGTTTGCTGTGAACTACAATTGCATTTATTTCACTGCACTTTGCATTGCTTCTCATTTTAGTAAGCCATTTTAATTTTCTCATTGTTCTAATTTTTTTTAATTTTATGGAAATGTTTTAGTAAATAATAAGTAACCACAAGTTGAAATAGAAACATAATTTGTCATAACATTACATTACAAATTGTTTCATGCATAAATTATTTAGACATATTTATTTAAGACCAGTGTAGGTTTCACATGACACGTTCTTTGTAATGACTGGCAGAAAGCTTTGCTGGTAATACCTCATATATTACTGACTTTTTATGAATGAAGTCAAAACTGTCACTGAAAAACAATACAGTTGGCAACTTAGCATTAAAGGGTTACTTCAATTGTAATTTTGTTTCCATTAATATTACAGCTTACAAGTAATAACAAAATGCTGCCTTCTGTTTTTAAAAATCATGTTGATTTTTATTATTGCTGCTCCCCCTCTCCTTCCCGCCTACATGGCAGAATGGACTGACCATTGGGTGCATTACCCCAGCTCATCATGATCGAACACTCTGCAAGGAGAACCCAGGCTGCCAAACTGCACGTGGGCAGTCCGCTTTCTCTCTCACCCACAGAACACTGACCTCAGCTGCTACTGTAAGAGAAAGCGGACTGTAGCGAGTTCACAGTGCTGTATTCTACATAGTCCTGACCCCTACACTGTATTTACTATGCTGTACAATATACTCCTGTCCCCTGCACTGTATATGCTATGTTGTACATTGTACTGCTGACCCCTGCACTGTATATGGTATATGCTATATTGTCCCTTAAAGTCCTGACCCCTGTGCTTTATATTCTATGATGTACGTCATAATCTTGACCTCTACACTATGTTGTACAATATACTCCTGTGCCCTGCACTTTATTCACTATGTTGTACACTGTGTAAACTATGTCGTACAATATACTCTAGATCCCTGCAATGCATACACTAAGTTATACATAATAGTAAGCTGGGCGACAGAATCCTAAATAGTTTTATTACTCAGGATTTTTGCCACTTACAAAAACCTTCAGCCCATCAGCAGACACAATAGATGTAGCAGCAAAAAAGGTAAATGGCAAATTATGTTTTCTAAATACTTTATGCCAAATGTGATTGCAGTGTAATTGGTGTTTATCAATGTATTCTCTGCAAGAACTGTTGGGTTGCCACACTTTAAATTGACTATACAGTTTAAAAAGTTGTAATTAGCAAAACAAATACATACATGATTTTACTCATGAACATTAATTGCCTTGGTTGTGTCTCTGTGCCATTAGTATGATACATCTTCCCGTATATACAGTGTTTTAAATTTAATTTGTACAAAGAGTAACAATATTCTGCCTCTTGTAGAACCACTCCCATGTTAAATGAATGCACTGCCCCTAATTAATGTACTTTCTCCACCTACAATGACTTGCTGGACACACAGCAAAAAAAAAAGGTGTCTCTGGAAATGTCTTTGAAAAGTTGGCAACTATGAAAGGGCTGTGTATCCAAGAGGCAGGAGGAGGTTCAAACAATAAGAAGATAAAACAAACCTAAATGTGTGCTAGAGTTAGAAATTAACAGACCTATTAAATGACTCACTAACTTCTGAGCCTCCAATAATCAAACATTTACTGAGAACGCTGGCAAAATCACATGCATTGTATCAATTTATGGAAATAATAATGATCTCATCCAAAGTTCACATTTTTTGCTTAATTTATCTGCATTTTAGTTCTTATTTTGTACTGCAATTTATAGAAAGTCAACAAGAAAAAAAGAAGCACTGCATTTTACATTTGTGCTGTAACACTTGGTTTCAGCAGATGACTCTGAAGATTAGAGCCGTATTTACCATGATGACACTCGTGGGCCAATGCCTAGTTATAACTTATTTTGTTGTACTCTTCTGTTCATCTAAAGTTAACAAACGAACTGTAGGCAGAAGGGGGTGTAAGACGTTTTGAGAAGAATCAGTAGTCTCTTTATAGTTCAGGAAACATGAAACCATCTCTACCTTCTCTTGTTTGGTGGCCTGTACAGTTGTAGACAGAATGAGATCTCCTTTATATGCTAAGCTGCTCTTCAATAGCATATTCTAGCAGTAGTTTTAGTTAAAATAATAACAAGACTCAATGGATTAGGCTTGTATGAAAGGGGATCATCATCCAGGTGCAAATCGAACAGCGTGATGTCTAAATATGGCTGTGATACAGTGACACCCAGGGCTGTAAGAACTGGACTAAATCCTCTGTCTTTCAGTGCTATTTCAGATCATACTAAGGAATAAATTGTTTTCTAAAAATTAATATTATGTTTACATAATAGAACAATAAAGGACCTAATGCCTGACTTTGGCATCAAATAAGGCTTGAACATCCACCTGGTAAAACTTAGAAAACATGTGAACAGAAGACCAGGTGGCAGCCTTGAAAATCGGGAAAACAGTTGCCTTATGGCAAAAGGCCCAAGGGACAGTCACAGATCTAGTAGAGTTTGCTTTTACAGGAAATGGTGGAACCCAGATTTAGACCATAAGCATGATCAATGATCTTTCTGAGCCATCAAGAGATGGTGGAGCAAGAAGCTGGTTCCCTTTTATGGGGACCATCAGGAATTACTTTTTCAAATGGAAGCAGTGACAGTCAGGTAAACCCGCACAGCACGAAATGCATCCAGACAGAGAAGAAAAATGTAATTCTGATGTACTGGAGCCAGGCAGAGAGATGGAAAAACCATGTCCTGGTTGACGTGAAAGGCCAAAAACATCTTAGTAAGGAAAGAGGCTCTGGGCCTCAAGATCACTTCATACTTTTGTAAGACCAGAATTGTTCTTTACAGCACAATGCTACCAGCTCAGACTTGAATATTTTAGCAATTTAACATGGTGTGTAGCAGCAATTTAAGTGAGTGGATCTTGGCTTTTGTCAATAATAAAGTGGTAATAAATTGTATTACACTATGCTGAGATAGGGCTTGACACAGTTGTCTACATACACAGAGTGACGGATTGTTTCATGGCACAGTAAAGTTAAATGTTCCACTGATATTATGTACTGTTACATTATTTTCTCACGAGATCATAATTTTGCTACAATTGTTTCTTGGATACTTTTCTGCAATAGTTTATGCACATAAATTTCACAGGATTAATGTATTTACTAGTATACATTTTTTAGGCTGTGCTTTATTAATTGTGTTAAATGTTTTGTATTACATTATTTCAACACTTTAATTTATACACTTGTTGAAGGATTCATCATATATGATTTTGCCTTTTCAGGGTGTGCTTAATTGTTTTGAGTTTTAAAGTGCAGAGAGAACCAAACTCAAATCCCACAAAGTCACAAGTGCTTGCACAGGAGCATCTAAATGAAAGGTATCCTGTACAAAACTATTAACTGAAGATTTGGAGGCAAGTGATCTTTGGACCAAGATTGCCAGCACCGAGATTTGCCCCTTGATGATACTCACGGCCAAATGCTGATACAAACCTGATTGGAAAAAGGTCATGATTCTTTCCATGGTGCATTTTCCAGGGTGAAAAGTGGGGGAAAGTAGCACTGAGGATGAGAAGGAATGTAGCTTTGATAGCATGGAGGAATGCACCACTGAAGATAAGAGGGAATGTGGCACTGAAGACAATGGAAAATGCAGCACTGAGGACAAGGAGGAATGTAGCACTGAGGAAAAAAGGGAATGTAGCACTAAGGATAAGGAGGAATGCAGCACTGAGCACAACAGGGAATGCAGCACTAAGCATAAGTATGAATGCAACACTGAGGACAAGAGGGAACGGAGCACCAAGTACAAAGAAGAATGCAGGACTAAGGATAAGGAGGAATGTAGCACTGAGGATGAGGGAATGCAGTACCGAGGATAAGGAGGAATGCAGCACTAAGGACAAGAGGCTATAGAGATCGAAGGACAGGGAAGAATGCGGCACTAAGGATAAGATGGAATGCAGCACTGAGGATGAGGGAATGCAGTACCGAGGATAAGGAGGAATGCAGCACTAAGGACAAGAGGGAACGGAGCACCAAGTACAAAGAAGAATGCAGGACTAAGGATAAGGAGGAATGTAGCACTGAGGACAAGAGGGAATGGAGCACCAAAGACAAGGAGGAATTCAGCACTGAGGACAAGGGGGAATATAGAACTGAGGACAAGGGAAATACAGTATTGAAGACAATAGGAGATGCAGCATTGAGGACAAAGAGGAATTTAGCACTGAGGACTAAGGGAAATTTTAAGGCCAAAGCAGGGGGGGTGGGGGGGTGCCGGTGCAGCCCTGAGAACAAGGAGGAATACAGCACTGAGAACAAGAAGGAGTGCAGCACTGAGGAATAGGAGAGAGAAATCAGGAACAAGGTCAAGTAGAGAAGCAGTAGATTGGAATAGGTCTGAGTAAATCAGCAGATAGGAAAAGCAGAAACTAACGTAGCAGATATATTCCAAAATGAAGAAATCAGCTTAAGATGGAGTCCCCTATGAGATACCATTGTCTATCTGAGATATGCAGGTTTCCTTGTAAAAAATATTTGCAAATGTAATGTTAGTTGTTTTTAGCAGTACATTAATAGCTAATCAATTTTACAGAATGTTTGTATATTTGCTTCACAGCATATGTGATTAAAATACATGTCTGGCCACAAATCTTAGAGCTTTCTGAACAATATTATATAGTGTGACTGAGGCAATGCTTCAAGCTTGCCAAATAGTTAATTGCTGTATGGCCTTGTTTTTATTAGCTAAGCAGTCGTGTTCAAATAGAAAACCCTTTAAATGTGAATTCTATTTAGTGGCGTTGGAATGAGTGGAAGCTGAGGATCTCACTAAGCTGTGTGCTCTTAATGAACTGTCATTATGTAACTTTAGTTTCAGTCTACTTCAGGCTCCCACTGCCAATTGTAAGAGATATAAATTGGAAAACCCTTACACTTCGGCAGAGTGTGGTACATTTGGCAGGACTTTGTAGTGGAATATATTGAAAACCACAATTAAACCTCTACACTCAGTTAAGTAGAGTCTACTAATGGGTATAAATGCAATTCTCAAACATACAACCGCATGAAGATGAAAACAAATTCATATATTAACATAGAACTGCCTATTTTCCTTGGCAAAGCACTTGAATGAGTGCAGGATTCTTCTACACTGTCATTATAATGAGTTTAATTTAGACTTATTACACATAATGCAGCAACCTATGACTTAACATCTGTATATTACATTAATGTCAATATTCCAATGATATGCAATAATGTCTATTTCTCTAATTGTGTTGTGTATATATATTTTTGTATTTGAATGTTAACTTAAACATTCTCATATCAGCTTTACAAAAGCCACATCCTAAAGGTCATTGGTTCTTACCTTCTAGAGCCAGCATAGAGGGGAAATCCTTACAGTTAGACACTCCGGTTGAGTCGGTAACACATGTTTTCCAAAGGTTGGACCAGAAGGTTGCAGTGGTGATAACAGTGCCGTCAATACTGGAGACCTTCCAGTAGTCCGTTGGTAAAGTAGAGCTTACCAATATCCATCCTGACACTGAGAGCACAAAAGCTATAATCTCAGTTGCCATGTGTGGCATGGTGATAGAACCAGATGGAAGCAGAAAATGTATAAAGAACAAACTTATGTAAAAAACAAAAAGAGGAACTGGTGATGTAAAAAAATAGATGTTCAGATAAATGTGATTTAAAGAAGAAAAATATTAAGAAAAAGTTTAGTTATGATAAAAAATCCCCCCAAAGAGTGAGAGATCTACAGTCCAACAGAATGACCCAGAAAGTGGTAGAAATAACACACCATGGTCATGAAAATCCCTCCCTGTTCCTTAGGTGGCCCTCCCTAATTAATTCACTTCATTTCCAGGCAGAACCTAAAACACGCACTGCCAACTTCTCGGGATTAATGCTTCTCACGGATGTATTGTTTTTATAAGCTCCCATGAATCTTGAGTCCTTCCTTAATTGACATCTGGAATAGCCATAGCTTGACATAATGGCACATTTAAAAGATGCTAAGTACTGGAGATTGTGTTGCCTTTTTAAGATACATGGATCTGTTCAGGAAAACGCATGGCAGCTTAGTGGCAAATTAATAAAACCTAAAAAGTGTAAAAACTAGAGGTATTTTTAATTTTTTAAATCTGTACTTTAAAATAAAATGTTCAGGTAGTACATGTAAATGGGTACAGTACATGGGCTTGTGATACATGTGCTGTATGTACACAGTTATACAGTTAGTAAGTATTCCCTATGTGTCCCATTCCCTAATTTTAAACCTAAACATTAAACCCCTTTACCTGAACCCTAAAATTTACAAAAATCCCAAAAAATTAGCCTTTAACAACAAACAGTCAAATATATTTATATATACACTCACTAGCCATTGTATTAGGTACACCTTGCCAGCACTGGGTTGCACCCCTTTTATCTTAATTTTAATTATTTGTGGCATTGATACTGAACCATTGATACAAGGCAGGATGGATCCATGCTTTCATGTTGTTTACATCAAATTCTGACCTCGACCATCCGAATGTCCCAACAGAAATCAAGACTCATCAGAGCAGGCAACATTTTTCCAATCTTCTATTTTACAATTTTGCTGAGCCCTTGCAAACTGTAGCCTCAGTTTCCTGTTCTTAGCTGATAGAAGTGGTACTCAGTGTGGTTATCTGTGGCTGTAGCTCATCTGCTCAAGGTTCCATGTTTGTGTGTTCAGAGATGCTCTTCTGCATACCTTGGTTGTAACGAATGGTTATTTGAGTTACTGTTGCATTTCTATCAGCTTGAACCAGTCTGGCCACTCTCCTCTGACCTCTGGCATCAACAAGGTATTCTTGCCGAGAGAGTTGCCACTCACTGGATATTTTCTCTTTTTCGGACCATTCTCTGTAAACCCGAGAGATGGTTGTGTATGAAAATCCCAGTAGATTAGCAGTTGTTGAATTATTCAGACCAGCCCGTCTACCACCAACAACCATGCCACGTTCAAAGTTACTTAAATCACCTTTCTTCCCCTCTCTGTTGCTCGGCTTGACCAAGTCTACATGCCTAAATGTATTGAGTTACTGCCGTGTGATTGGCTAATTAGTCTTTAGATTTACACAGCTCTACCACATGCCGCAGCCTTATGTGACAGGACAGGAGACTCAAGCTTTCTCTTCTGCACCTTACATATACTTACAGATCTGCTTCCCACACTGTGATGTTGAGAAGGGTTCTGAGGCAGTGTTTTCACAGCTACAGTATCTACAGCACTCTGTCGGCGCATCCCACCATTCATGATCTGCCTGCGTGTTATACAGAAGCTCAGGGATGACATTATTTGGTCTAAAATAAGGTATGAAATTAAAACTTAAATGTTTTATTTCATAATTTATTTTGCATGTTGATGAGAAAAGAAATGAGAAACCAAGGAAGACTAAATAGAAGTAGAGTATACTTAAACTTTAACCTTAACTCCAGAACTCACTATAACCCCTAAAATCCAAGATATTAGTCATTGAGCACTGTACCGGCTCTGAGTGTTACCAAGTCCTGTGCCCGATCTGACACCAAAACTGACTGCTTCAAGTATTCAGGCCAGCTTACCTATATAAAGCATGAAGGGAATATGAGAATAACTGCAAGCCTATCCCTGTTATGTAGAGCTCCATACTGCTGCTCTGCTTACTTTACCTCTAGGAGATGGAGCATCTGCTAATAAAAGCAAGGAAAAATAATACACTAATAGTAAGTTACCATACTAAAGGTGTATGGGAGTGCTTGACCCGCTTTTCTGGCAAAATAACTGGTAAATGTTTGAGTAAGCTATGTATCATTGAAAGATAAGTGTTGTTTTAAATTACATTACATTTTTTAACAGATAGATCTGTGTGCGTGTATGTACATTTCTGTATCTTATATGTCCTTCAGTGCAATGCAAGTCAGAGTTACCCCTCTATGTGGGCTGTCATATAAATCTTTTTTATGGATTACTGTTGACTAATGATCCTAGAAGTGCCACATTAACAAGTTAATTAGCGACTAGAAGGAGATGTGACTGAAACCTGTTAGAAAAAAAATACATTCTCTATGTAGAGAAAATAGCAAACAGCTAAAGATATACTTGAGTGGGTCTGACATCTATCACCCAGCTTGCACAGGAAATGAGGAATGGATCTTTCCAGAATCTGGATCACTATACCAATTGTATATTTTAATGAGTCTTTTCAAAGTTCTCACAGCTCCCTTCAGTAATCCCATTTGCAGCACACAGCAGATATACAGTATATAGAATGGGGAGTCCATTTCTAAAGCAGCAGTATGGCTTTACGACAGGGGTGGCCAGCTCCCGCCCCCTCTAGCTATTGTGAAACTACAAGTCCCATTAGGCATTGCAAGGCTGACAGCCACAAGCATGACTCCGAGAGGCAGAGGCATGATGGGATTTGTAATTAAAGTATAGCTGGAGGTCCAGAGATGCCCACTCCTGACTTACCGAGTATATGCCGCTGCTATCAATATAAAAGCGCAGCAAATTTATAAAGCACATCAGTGTGCATTGGGTCTTCCAGGCCAGAAGAGGGCTATTAAAATGAGTGATAAAAAAAAAAATCAAGAGAGTCCAGTTATGTGACGTGCCACAGTCATGTGACCAGCTCTATTCCAATGCTATGTTAAGCAGAAAGAAAAAGGCTCAGGCTCCACACCATAGCCTATATTTTATGAATGGGCCACAAAAGGTTGGCTGCAGTATGCAGGGAAATTATGGGCGATCATTGCTAAACCGCCCCATTGCCCTCAATTTTGTAGAAGTCTCAGCCATTTCAGGACTGTCTCCATTTCATGTCTAACATTATTTTAATGTAAAAACAAGTCTCAGCAAGTCTAAGAAATCCAAACTTAGTAAACATGCTTGTGAGGGGAATTTTGTAACGTCAGCGTCTCATATTGCCAAGGACATCCCCAGAGATCGAGAGCCACCAGATGGATCAACATCCTGTCAACCTTATCCTGGAGAATACATCTGATGTACCTGAACTGTAATTTTATATAAAGTAGTATTAAACTTTCACATTTTTCTTTAATAATGAATCCAGATCAACCAATTATACATTGATCTGCAAAGCATTTCTTTACATTTTTGTCCAAGCACTTACAGTCATGTTTTCAAACAACTCCAACTCTCTCAGCTCAGCTTCCCTAAACTTCCTGTCCAGTACAAGATCACAAGGGACTGGACACTCTACTAGCTTGGAGAAGGGAGTAGAAGGAAGGGGAGCAGGAAGGAGGAGAGTGGCTTTCCTTGCTGTGCCTGTGTTTTTGTGGACACACACACAGCTTAATAGCACACACAAGTGTGGCTCCATAGGACCCTGCAAGGGAAAGGAGGCACCCTACAACAGGATAGCAGGGCCAGTGCTCAGAAGACCAGCTGATTCTGCAGGAAACTAAAACTTATAAACATCAAGGAGAAACATCCATTGTAAGTGGTTTCATCAGAATTTGAAATAGCTAAAAAATCTGTTGACTTTAAAGGAGAACTATGGGGTTAAGTCTTTTCCCCATAGTACTGCCTCGCCTTCCCCTCCGCTTAACAGCTCTTCAATCTCCAACTGCGGCCGACAATTCTCACAACTCCTTCAGCCTTCGACCCTGGACCACTCGATCTTCCTGCAAGGCCGCCCCTCTCCTGGTCCCCACAAATGTAAGTGTAAGCACCCTTCTTTACACAATTTCCTAGTACATCTTGTCAATACCAATGTTTAATCATCCACCCTACCAGTTTTGCGCCCTGCTGTGAGTGTTTTTATGCATTCGGCAGTGTTATCTTAAGCAGCATTATCAGCCCTGCCCAATTCACTTCTCTGGACTACAAAACACTTCCAGACTAAGATATGGAGTTCGGGAGAGGTAGAAGATTTCTGACATGTCCTGTCCTAGGGTGACAGTTCAGTTCCTCTATAGAAGAAGTGCAGAGAGTGAGTGTTGTCACCCTAGGAAAGGACAGGATCACCAGATATACAATAAAGGTGTCAGGATCCAGAGCACCCCTAGGTGGCGCTGGAGCCAGGTCCTGCAGTTCCTGTGCTCGCCTGCGGTTGTCTCCAGCAGCCAGTGACTGTAAGGAACCTGCAGCTCCAGTACTCACCTGCGGGTGTGCCCCAGCTGTGAGTGATCATCCCATCACCTGGTGCTTCCTGGGAGGGTATTTAGGCCCTCCCTGCAGTCAGGAAGCTGGCTCAGTATTGTGTCGCCTGCACTTGACTGCTTCCTGAACCCAGCTTCCGGAACCCAGCTTCCTATCTGCAGACCTGTCACCGACCCGGCTTGTTACCCGACCACTCTTCTTGGATCCTGTTTCTGTACCGTGCTGCCCTCCTGTTAACCCTCCTTGTCACTTCACTGCTAAACCTGTGGGGGGTTGAGGGGGTTAGTAGTTTTGTTTGATGGTAACAAATAAACTGTGCATAGAACCCTATCCTGTGTGGGCATATTAATTTGGTCATCCTGCGTGGGTACCTGCATGAGGTGTGAGGACGCCTGTACACGGTACCCTGATAAAAGGAGAAAGTCCTCGATGGATATCCCCACATAAGCCTCTTCTTTCTCTACAGGGGAACCCCCTGTTCCCTCCGGGTTATGAACATCCCTCAGCTTTTCGTAAATGGGCAG